TCAAAGAATAAATAAAGAGAGGGCTTCCAAAACTAGTGCTCATAACATAGTTGGAAGACCATTATACATGCCCATGACCCTTGATGAATTTAGGAAGGAACAACTTTTAGATGTTTCTGGACGACTACCTCAAAATGAAAAAGGCAGTAAGAGTCATATCCTTGTAAGAAAACATTCAAGACGGGACCATGCAGTCATTAAAAAATCGCATATCCCCTTCTATCCTGGGACTAGAAGGGCCGACGTGATGTTAGCATCGCGAAGGGCAGCCTCAATGCTCAAAACTGAGAAAGTTTTAGCTACCTTTGTATCTACCCAATCATACATCAGCACGCATGACCGACACCAAAGATTTAAATGTTCCAACACCTCAGCATCGCTAGGCTCGCGACTTACAGTCTGCAAGCAAGTCTCAATGAAATCTCTAGCAAGGCCCCTTCTTTGCAAATTGACTTGTGTCTCCTCTTTTGACATTGTATGAGGGGGTATGAGGACCTCGGCGTATTTTGGTCTTCCGTCAATATTTGAAAATGGCGTTTAACGACCCAAAAGAAAACATTTCTACCTGCAATAAAGTCTCAGACATCCCTTCTGACCTAGAATCGTCAACTAGGGATATAATTTTTGGTCCTACATGATCACTATCAAAGGAAGGATGATGAGAATCATGGGACAACCTAGATAAAGCATCCATTTTAGAATCAATCACTAAATTGACAGTTTTTTCACTCATCCTAATTAAGAAAACACTAAATGCCGAAGGAAAATAGGAGTTAGCAGGGTACCTGGTTAAGGAAGGTTGATGAAACAAGAAGAGTGAAAAGGAGAAAGCTTTAAGAAAAACTCTAAATCACTTCTAGTGATGCTCTCGGGGAAAGGAATGAAGACGTTTCTATGGAAAAATAACTGTAAGCTCGAACACTAAAAAGTTGTGAAAACATCCAAATATTCAACTCACTTTATTTATAAGCAACTGTAGCAGAGAGACCAAGACTAACTATGAACAGAGATCACAATATCAATCGCTATAATTCCATTTATGGAAACACTCCAAACTCAAGTGCACTTAAGCACTCTATGAACTATGTCACACCCTAGCCAGTCACCTCATTGCACGTGTCAGGAATGGATAGCAAAACACCTCAATGTTGGAACCACATTAAATATGTATGTCCCTTGTTATTTTTCAAAATTAATCCCAAGCGATTAAGTTTTATTCCAAACCGGACTACGACATGGAGGTTGATCAACGATATTTAAGGCTTCCCCCGGTTCCTTTCTTTAGTGCCTGGAAAAGCTTTGGGAACAACTGTTCTAGACCGGCCAATTGCCCAATTCACTAAGGTCCAATCCATTTCAAGCTCACTCAACTCTACCAAAAATATAAAAAGAAATTCACATGCTATGAGAAGGTAAACAATCTATGATTACCAATTTCATTATACTTATCTTGAATCTTAAACTGAGTTGGACATTAGAGTACTAACTATGCATGTCCACTCTGCGCCACCGTTAAAGAGATTGGAGTCATCGTTCAATATCAACTATTATTTAACTCTCATTATTTCTAGTTACTTTGTGAAACTGAAACATCTATTTGTGGTTTTCGAATGGAAAAGTTTATAACATCACGTGCAACATAGATAAAATTGTTAGTGTTATCTTATACTCCCCCCGTTTCAAAATGATTGTCGTTTAAGATTTTTGCACATAGATTAAGGAATACAATAATATTATCATAAAACATTGCACTTTTACTAAATTAGCGATATTAATGTGTTGGAAGTGTTGTCCAAAATAATAATTAGAAGACACAATTGAAAAAATAGCAATCATTTCAACCTTGAAAAATGAGAATGACATTTATATTAAAACAATTTTTTTCTCTAAAACGATAATCATTTTAAAACAGAGGAAGTAATAAATAAATAAAATTATATTCATATAGTTTTATGGTTAAATATATTTGTGGTCCTCCTAAATATTTTAAATTTCGCTTTTAATTTCTCAAAAAAATTCCTTAAAAAATAGTTTTGCAAAATTTTTTAATCCACACTTTTAGTTCTTAATACTAAAATCGTCGACAATTTAGTCGTTAAGTAATAAATCGTCGGTAAAATCGTTACTAATTCAATCACTAAGTTGTAAAAATCGTAACTGAATTGTAGGAAAGATCAAAAGTGTGGATAAAATTTTTTAAAAGGATCCTTCTTTAAAAAAAATATTTTAATAAATTAAAAATAAATTTTAAAATACTTAAGAGATCCATAAATATATTTAACCTTTTATTATAAAAAATAAAATAAAAAATGAATAAAACTATTTTAATTTTCTTTGAATTCTTCTTTTTAAGAGTGTGCGAAAGGTTAATTAAAACTATTTTAATTTTCTTTGAATTCTTCTTTTTAAGAGTGTGCGAAAGGTCTAATTAAGTTGGCTTAGAGAGATAGAGTGAGAGAGAGAAAAAGAGATTTTGACAATCTTATCATATCTGAAATGGCTGCTTCGGGTATCGCTGGAGCAGGGCTTACCCTTCTCAACTGCTTCTCCTCTTCCGCTTCTTCTTCTTCGACTCGATGTCGTACTCGTTCTCTCACTATGGCTGTTTCCACCGACCAGAAGCCCAAAACCACCGAAAAACTCTCTCTCCGCAAGTCCGAAGAAGCCTTCGCCGCTGCAAAGGTTCTTTCTCTTTTTCCTCCTTTAATCTTTCTGAATATATAAATAAAGAAATATAATGTAATCGATTTGAATTGGTTGTGTTAGGAATTGATGCCTGGAGGAGTTAACTCTCCCGTTCGTGCTTTCAAATCAGTTGGTGGACAGCCCATTATCATTGACTCTGTTAAAGGCTCTCGGATGTGGGACATTGATGGTAACGAGTATATTGACTACGTTGGTTCTTGGGGTCCTGCAATTATCGGTCACGCCGATGATCAGGTTTAACAGTTTATCATGTTTATTACCCCAATTGTCTTCTGTTGTTTTAGAATTTGTATAACTCCAATTAATTTCATTCATAGGTTCTTGCTGCTCTGGCTGAAACAATGAAGAAAGGAACTAGTTTTGGTGCACCTTGTCTTTTGGAGAACACGCTTGCGGAGATGGTTATTGCTGCCGTTCCTAGTATTGAAATGGTGAGATTTGTGAATTCGGGAACGGAAGCATGTATGGGTGCGCTACGTCTGGCACGTGCTTTTACTGGGAAGGAGAAGATCATTAAGTTTGAGGGATGTTATCACGGACACGCTGATCCTTTTCTGGTTAAGGCTGGCAGTGGAGTTGCCACCCTAGGACTTCCGGATTCACCTGGTGTTCCTAAAGCTGCTACCTATGAAACGCTTACAGCTCCCTTTAATGATTTTGCCGCTGTTGAGAAGATCTTTGAGGACAACAAAGGAGAGATAGCTGTTGTTTTTCTTGAACCTGTTGTTGGAAATGCTGGTTTCATTACGCCTAAACCTGATTTTCTTAGTTCGTTGCGCAAAATTACTAAGGAAAATAATGCCCTTCTTGTGTTTGATGAAGTTATGACTGGATTTCGTTTGTCGTATGGAGGTGCTCAAGAATATTTTGGCATAACTCCTGATATAACAACTCTGGGGAAGATCATTGGAGGGGGTTTGCCGGTGGGTGCATATGGAGGTAGGAGAGATATTATGGAGACGGTGGCTCCGGCTGGACCTATGTACCAGGCTGGGACATTGAGTGGGAACCCTTTGGCCATGACTGCAGGCATACATACTCTGAAGCGAATTAAAGAGGCAGGAACTTACGAATACTTGGACAACATTACAGGTGAGCTTGTTCAAGGAATTGTTGAAGCTGGGAAGAAGGCAGGGCATGCAATTTGTGGTGGGCATATAAATGGGATGTTTGGGTTTTTCTTCACAGAAGGACCTGTGTACAATTTTACTGATGCAAAAAAGAGTGACACTGCTAAGTTTGCCAAGTTTTTCTGGGGTATGTTAGCAGAAGGTGTCTATTTGGCACCTTCACAGTTTGAGGCTGGGTTCACCAGCTTGGCACATACTTCTGATGACATCAAAAAAACTATAGCGGCTGCTGAGAGGGTCTTTAGGGAGATCTGAATGTTAAATTTTGTCTTACTGCTACTTGAGGTTTTGAAGCGTCAATTTTTATACTTTTGTAGGTTAAATTAGATCAATGCGTTATTACTACGGCAGTTTTCATTGTAACCTTTATCATTTTCACTTCCTGTATCTAGTCAGTGTATTGGGATTGTTGTAAGCATTTGAATCCATCGTTTAACTTATATAAGTCTCTTCGAATTTGGATTGTAAGCATTTGAATCCATCTATTAACTTATAAATGTCTCTTGAATTTGTAATTGTAAGATTAACTTATAAATGTCTCTTGAATTTGTAATTGTAAGCATTTAAATCCATCGTTAACTTATAGAAGTCTCTTGCATTTGAAATTGTAAGCATTGCATCTTCAAATTATATTCCGGCCATTCATTCATCACATACCATATACAGCCTCTAGAACGACGACCATATATTTGATAAATTGAAATTAACTTCCGGAGTAGTTTTTATTTTGTTTTTATTGTGCATTTAGCTTGACATTTAATGTTTGCATCTTAAATTAATTATTTAATAAATTTAAAAATAACTTTTTTACTTATAATAATAACCAAACCAAAAATTTAAAAATTCAAAAAAACTTACTACCAAAAAAGTGTTTTTTTTTTAATTTTTAAAGAAAATCATATAATCATCTTCTCACAGGGGAAAATGTATAGTATGATGAAGTTGTTTTTCATCCTTAAATATTATGCGGCAGTCACAATACCTTTTCAGGATTCTTGGGGTTACAGTTTCCCCATATATTTTCTATAACAATGTTTACCTTTTCCAATGCATATTAGAAATTAATCAAAATGACGAAGCAAACAACAAATATAGGGAAAATCTTGGAAAAACCCGAGTTATGTTGAACCTCTGATAACTATAGAGCAAATACTAACGAAACTGTTAAATTACAATCTCAAATGTTTCGCAACCTTCACACATAATGTATAACGCAGTTAAATTAAATTGTGTCTTTATACAAAATCTGGGCTTTAATTTGCAACCTCTGTCAAGATGCTCCATATGGACTTCGGCAAGCCGGTCTCGCAAAAAGTCCAAAGTAAGCTGAAATCTCAAAAAAACAGGACTAGTAGTTAAAAATGCTAGTATCAACAGTGGTGCATATAACTTGTATGTGGTCAGTTAAACTTGTAAGAATTATATAAAGGTGTAAGTTACATAATAACTAAAATATTCTTGTCGAATATAAAACGGACATATCCAAAGAATACATAACAATCAACAACGGGTCATCCAATGACCTATAAGACATTGTGATTTCTCGGAGAGAACAGGTTTGCTACACTCCTATCCTATGGATCCCAATGCCATATTGCTTCCAAGTTAGAGGGGCCTCTTTTATAGACCCAGAGAGGTACAAAAGATTAGTTGGAATGCTATATCTTTCCATAACTCATCTAGATATTTCTTAGGTTGGTTTCTTAACTCTCCCAATGAAGAACATTGGCTTAAGATGTTATGATTCACACACTGAAATATATTTAAGGAGCAACAAGGAAATGTCTCTGGTATGAAGATAAAGATTAAAGATCATATAGGAATCATTGATATTCTAAACTATAGCAAAGGACCCATCGGAGACTAGTATCTTATATGAATATAACGGTCATGTACGAATCATGGGATATTCAGATGCAAAATGGGCAAGGTACCCAGAATAATAGAAGATCCACGCCCGGATAGTCTCATTGTTGGTGATAATATAATTTCTAGGAAGGGCAAGAAATAATGTTATGACTAGCCAAGCGCAAAAGCAGACTATCATGGCTTCAGCTACTTCTAAACTTGTATGGCTCAATCAATTGGTTAGAAAACTGGGGTTTGGTGATGTTTCAGAGGACGCTCATTTGTGATAATCAGAATGCCTTGCATATTACCCCAATTTCATAGAAATATAAAGACTAACAAGTTGAGATCTATAAAGACTAAAAGTAAACCACCTAAGATAGGAATAACAATGCACTGAATAGCTAAGATAGAGCTGGAGTACTCAAACTGATAGCCTCAAAGTCCCCTGATGTTTATACAAGCTTAAAGTTGAATAAATAAACCACCTCTTTACTCTTTAAACATGAATAAATCAAAATTCGTGTCAGAGGGAGGAAATAAGTACCTCGTCGGCTTTGGTTAGTTGAAGTTTACAACGAGTGCAGTATATGATATTGTGAGTGTCTTTAAGCTCTCCATGCTTACAAACAGGGCACCAAATCTCTTTTCTACATGTCTATTGAGAATCACCAAGAACAAATCAGAGACTATATTCAAATAATATGAAAAATGAAAGGTTACTTGAAATTTAACTTGTTGAATAAAAAAGATTATTTAGCAACATACATCATCTGCATTTAGATGCATATGCTCATAAACTGCACGAGCCAAGTAGTCATCGACTTCATCTTCCCAAGTATCAACTGCGGTTTCTAATGCAACAGTGAAATAAGAAAATGTCCATATTAATGTGTACGTATACAGTTACTAATCTCTCTATCTATATATTACCTTGCTGTATTGATGGTTGAGATTCGAGGTCTTCATAAAATATCCTTTGCATTTCAAGCAGTATCTCTTGGCAATCATCACCTTGGTATGTGGTATGAGGACTTTGATCGTCCCACAACAGATCATCATCATGATCCTCACCGTCATTATCATGTCTAATAATTTTATGGAATTCATCGGATACAATGTCCTGAAATTCAATGTCCAACTGTTCCTTCGTGCAGATTGCGAATAGATGTGTTGATTATTCGATTCAATTTAAAATTAAAAAGAAGCTAGAGCGCGAAAGGGGGGAAATGGATGCACACCTGATGAAGGTTTTGTGATGGAGAGGAGAACCTACATTTCCAGAGTAAACGGGTTCTGTCTTCTCGCACTCGTTTGAAGCAATTATCTCTCAACTGCATCAATGGTATAATCAATTATCAATCAATTATGAATGAATGAAAATAAAACCCTAAACCCTAAGTACTAGTACCTTTTGTTTCCGGAGTTGGTAATTGTTGAATTGAGAATCGGATTTTAAGGATTGCCGCGTCGTCGAATTGGGGATTGTTCCGTTATCTTTCTCCTTCTCGCATGATGACGACGACACGGTGGCTTCCTCCATCTCCCGCCAATGCCGTCGATGCTATACAGCTTGCTCTTCCCACACTCCTGAGACCAACTCCAACGGGAGTTCTTAACGTGGGTTTGCCAACATGGCATCCATATTTGTTGTTTTCAAGATTGTCATGTTGTCAAACGGTTCTTAATTAAGCAACGGTTCTTCAACGGTTCTTATATTAAAATATTGATTTTATAATATAAAAATTATAAAATATAAATAAAATATTAATATATAAAATTTAATAAAATAAAATAAATGATATAAAATTTAATATAAATAAAATATTAATATATAAAATAAAGTCGTGAGACCTAAGACCAACTCCAATGGGAGTTCTTAGGGTGGGTTTGCCAACATGGCACTCATATTTGCTATTTCCAAGATTGCCATGTTGTTGAAAGATGCTTAATTAAGCAACAGTTCTTCAACTGTTATTATATTAAAATATTAATTTTATAATATAAAAATTATAATTTAATATAAAATTTTATTTATCATATGAAAATTATAATTACAATATTAAAATATTGATTTTATAATATGAAAACTATATTTTAATTATAAATTTAAATTATAAGTTTAATTTGAATTTTATTTATTTTATTTTTATTTATTTTAAATTATAATTTTAATTTTTTTTATTTTATATCAAATTTAATTTAAAACACTAAAATTAACTAAGGAGAGATTGAAATATTTTTTTAAGTTTAATCTAATTTTTTTTAAGTTTATATAGTAGAATGAAATATTTTTTCTTAAAACAACACTATATACCGGTTGGACTATATAGTAGATTGGAATAATTTTCTATAAAAAAATTAAAATTATTATTTTAAGTGATATAAAATTTAATATGAATAAAATATTAACATATAAAGTAAACTTGTGGAACCCAATATGAGTTCTTCAGAATTGCATCATTGGAGTGAAAAATTAGTTGAGTTGCTTCAAGCTGACGTGGCTTGATAGGTCCCACAAAGAACCCAAAAATGAGTTCACGGTTGGAGATGCTCTAATATGAGTTCTTCATAGTTGCACCATTGGAGTAAAAAATTAGTTGAGTTACTTCAAGCTGACGTGGCTTAATAGGTCCTACAAAGAACCCAAAAATGAGTTCATGGTTGGAGATGCTCTAAGAAAATACCGATTTACAGTGTATTAATTAGGACTCATAGATACCTAACAATTGGGTTGGGATCCACTATATTTCTTTGACCCTCCATTTTCTCCATTACTATAGTTTTGTGTGTAAATAACACACATTTTTAAGACATGTGACATATAATTAATATTTAATTAATTTTATATACATAAAAACTATAATAATGAAGAAAATTGAGAGAACTAACAATTAATTAGAAATAGAACTCGTACATACCTAAAAATCATGTGGAATTCCAGTTAGTAGCATTATTTATTACTATTATATTATAGTATATTATATTCCCCTCAATTTCTTTGTTTATAAGAATTCGTTCTACTATATATCCCATTTTTCAAAAAAAAAATCCAAAATATTTCTGTTAGAGTTTTTGATTATCTAAGAGCGTTATTCTAATTGGCGATCCTTTGTTAAAGTCATAAGATTGTCGCCAATTGAATTGGAGACACCTCATGCAGTTTTCAATCTAATTGGCGCCTTAGTTATAGACATATAAGAGAGTCGTCAATTCATCTGAAAACTTCTTAAAAACTGATTTTTTTTTTCTATAAATAGAGTTGTTCTAATCATTTAGTTCCACATCTCATCTCATATCTTTGTTCTACTGATAACATATATCGTCACCAGTGGAGAAAAGTTGTCTATTTGAGAGAGAAGCCTCTGATGGACATGCTGTTTTAGAACATACAAAGTTTCAATCAACTTAATAGGGAGTTGAATCGGTGGTTAGAAGGAGACATTGGTGAAGGGGGAAAATCCGTAGTATCGAGAGACTTGATCGACTGCGTGGATGAGTTTGTGTTAAGACCGGCAAAGATGCGAGGGAAGTCATGTTTGGACCAAATGAAATTAGTTTGATTGTTGTAATCAGTTATGAATGTTGTAATCACCTAGTTAATGTTTTATGTTTTGTGAAATTAGTATGTGTTGTGTGTTGTTAGTGTTGTTTGTTGTTAACATTGTTGTAACAAAGACTCATCAATATATGAAAATATTTGGTTACAACAAATGAAATGATAAGCTAAATCATGATGCAAATGTTCCTCCGAGATTGGGACAATTTTTTCGGTTGTGTCTGGGCTTACGACATATACTGCACAATCTTATCATTTTATCAGCGGTATCCATTTCGATTCTTATACACTTGTTGTTTGGACGTCCCTTTTTCTTTCTTCTCATCTCATCGTTGTGCCAAACTATGTCACCTTGGTATAGAGGCCAATAATCCTCCATTGGTAGCACTGCGAAGCCTTCGTTGTATACGTTCATAACATTAATCGCCTTGTAAACATCAGACAGATAGCCATAAGAATCCTGACGAGCATGTGCGCATGCCGAAATGACATGTGAGCAAAGTACACGAAAGGCCTAGTACTTGCCACAGTCACACCAACATCTGTTTAGTATGACAACATAGGATAAATTAGGTCTCCCCTCGTTATGGTCCATTGTTTCTTGTACACTGAATCTTCGCCTATGACAGTCAAAGACTGTAAATGCATGTGTGATGACTCTGATAGTATCCTTTTTCATCAATTTCATTATGCTTTCACTTAATATTTGACATGGCGTTAACACTGCACTCCATCTTTCACCTCTTGTTACAAAAAGTGATGCCAACATATAATATATTGATCTCACCAAAGCGGTGATTGAAAGGTTTCTAATTCTTTTGAATACCCCGTTCATGGACTCCACAAAGTTTGTTGTCATGTGTCCCCAACGACATCCACCATCAAAAATCTTTGTCCACTTTTCGAGTGGAATGTTATCTAACCAGATATAGCCATAATTAGGGTACATCATACCATAGCCATAACGCACAAATATCTTTCCATAACCAAAACGCTCTGACATCATACCCTAGCCTACACACTCAACCATCTCAACAACCTTATGGCTTTCAAACACCATTACCATTTCAACCTTTTACCAATGAATCCCTCACACTAATGTCCCCCTTCAATTGTCCAAGCTGCACACCAATGACCCTTTCATCACATCCGAACTACTCTGGCATGGGTCGCACGCTCAGTTTCAACAAACAAAACCTCATGGAAATGCAAGAAATTCTTAGGGAACCATCTATGAATGTTTCTGAGACTTCAACTCCTCAAACACTTGACGTGAATCAACAACAAGGGGAACGAGTGCAACGAAGGGAACAAGTGCAACGAGTTAGGGTGTCTAGGGGATGTGGAACCGGTGGCCGGTATGACCCACACGGTCTCCAACATTAGTTTATGTAATAGTTTTTTTAATTAATGATAATATTATTTATTTTTCGTAAAAAAAATTAAAAAATACATCCTGTCTCCAAATGAATTGGCGACAGCGTATTATGTTTATAACCAAGGCGCTAATTAGATTGAAGACTGCACGAGGTGTCTCCAATTCAATTGACGACACCCTTATGACCTTAACAAAGGGTCGCCAATTGGATGACGCCCTTAGATAATCAGAAACCCTAAATGGGGTACTTTGGGGAATTTTTTGAAAACTGGAGTATTTTGGAAATTTTTTTGAAAACGTGGGTTATTTGGGTAAAAAATTCTATTTTTGTGTATATGTCTCTTTCTCCATATAATCCATTTGTCTTAGATTAACTAATTTAATTGCTCATTTTACAAGAGATTAAAAATAATAAAAAAGAATGAATAACATTTTTATTTAATGTGCGATTACTTGTATATTTTTGTTTTAAAAAAGAAAAACAAAACATGTATTTAAGGTTCAATATTTTTAAAAGATTAATCTTTTATAAGTTGCTACCTTTTATCAGTCAAATGTGTTAATATGACATGATTGTTGAATGTTAAAATGACATGACATGTTTGAATGGTTAAAAAGTGCATATATGCGTGTTCCTCTAGAAAGGGCATGAGATTTAGAGATCTTAATAAGTATATTACATTGTATGATAGTTAAGATTTATCTATAATGGCGAAAATTCTTATACAATGATATTTTATGGTGGGTTTAGGAGTCCTGCCTCATGGAAGTGAGAAACTATGTAGATGGATGGTGTGCTTATTGTAAGCGTGTGAGAGGTGTGATCAGTATGAGTTATGATTTGTACAAATGTTATGTTTAGGGTGTAATGATCGGTCATTTTCTTCACTTAGGGAGATATATTTACATAGGCCCTATAGGCTTAAGGTTTTGTTAAAAAGAGTCTTCCCTCACCTAACCAATGGTGAACTATTGAATATCTATTTTTAAGGGGGTGTGGATTGTTAGAACACAGATTGGTTCTTAGTTATATCTCTATGTTTTGATGATAACTCTTATGAAATTTTGTATTAAGAAATTATATACTCTAAAATATGTTCAAGTATGTTTGCTGCAGATATTAAAGTTAATATACTCCTGAAAGCAAATTGGATTTGAACATGGAACTATGCAAGACTCTGAAGTGTCAGAAGCATCTATTAGAAGAATCTGAACGCTGCCTACAGAAGATTCTGAGCGCTGCCTACAGAAGGATCTGAAGCAGAAGCTACATAAGCATTTGGAGCATAGTCTGAAGACTTTTGTATGAAGAGTTTCAAGCACAGTTTTTCAGAAGACTCTGATAGTACTGTACGCTGCAAGTACTGAGGATCTGATTCCTAAAACTCTGCTCTAATGAAATTACACGCTGAAGCACACTTGCTACAACACTCTAATTCAACAAACTCTGATGAACATCAAAGACTCTGATCACTCAAGGCTCTGATGTTATTTGCTGAGTATTAGAAACTTGTTGAAGAAGAATTCAAAGTTATGTCTGTTGGTTAGGCCAAACGACTCTTTCCTCATTTATGCTAGACACAAGAACACAGACAAAAAGGATTTC